TACATATGTATACACACATACATATACATATGTATACACACATACATATACATATGTATACACACATACATATACATATGTATACACACATACATATACATATGTATACACACATACATATACATATGTATACACACATACATATACATATGTATACACACATACATATACATATGTATACACACATACATATACATATGTATACACACATACATATACATATGTATACACACATACATATACATATGTATACACACATACATATACATATGTATACACACATACATATACATATGTATACACACATACATATACATATGTATACACACATACATATACATATGTATACACACATACATATACATATGTATACACACATACATATACATATGTATACACACATACATATACATATGTATACACACATACATATACATATGTATACACACATACATATACATATGTATACACACATACATATACATATGTATACACACATACATATACATATGTATACACACATACATATACATATGTATACACACATACATATACATATGTATACACACATACATATACATATGTATACACACATACATATACATATGTATACACACATACATATACATATGTATACACACATACATATACATATGTATACACACATACATATACATATGTATACACACATACATATACATATGTATACACACATACATATACATATGTATACACACATACATATACATATGTATACACACATACATATACATATGTATACACACATACATATACATATGTATACACACATACATATACATATGTATACACACATACATATACATATGTATACACACATACATATACATATGTATACACACATACATATACATATGTATACACACATACATATACATATGTATACACACATACATATACATATGTATACACACATACATATACATATGTATACACACATACATATACATATGTATACACACATACATATACATATGTATACACACATACATATACATATGTATACACACATACATATACATATGTATACACACATACATATACATATGTATACACACATACATATACATATGTATACACACATACATATACATATGTATACACACATACATATACATATGTATACACACATACATATACATATGTATACACACATACATATACATATGTATACCACACATACATATACATATGTATACACTACCATACATATACATATGTATACACACATACATATAACATATGTATTACACACCATACATAGAATATGTATACACACATCCCATATACATATGTATACACACATACATATACATATGTATACACACATACATATACATATGTATACACACATACATATACAATATGTATACACACAAGACATATACATATGTATACACACATACATATACATATGTATACACACATACATATACATATGTATACACCACATACATATACATATGTATACACACATACATATACATATGTATACACACATACATATACATATGTATACACACATACATATACATATGTATACACACATACATATACATATGTATACACACATACATATACATATGTATACACATATACATATACATATGTATACACATATACATATACAAATATATACATATACACATATACATATACAAATATATAAATATACACGTATACATACATATGTACATACACACACACATATATATATATACACACACACATATATACATGTACATATATATACATACATATGCATATACATATATATATACACATATATACGTACAGTGAGAATACCGTTGTAGTATGAAGGTTACATTTTTTAAGCATACGGCTGCATAGAACACCGAAGGTACTGCCTTTTCTTCCCTAATAAGAGTATAAAAGAAAATCACTTATTCAATGTTATTATACTTAACTTGCACAAAAATGCTTTGACATTTTCCAACTTCACTTCCTCCCCTTGATAGTTTGTAAGTATACAAGTGTTTGATTGCAATAAAGGAGCGACTCACATTCATTCACGCAATATAAGCCGTATGCATTATTGCTATTCAACCAATTCTTCGTCAGGGTTAAAGTCCTCGAATGAATATTAATGACGAGATTTTTCTCTCGTGAAATCTCAAGTAATAGGTAAATTGTAAATTACTATATAATGATACGATAACAGTAGTTTCTGTCACTATCTTCCATTTTCTTTCGTAGTAAACTGACAGCTAATTAAAGTTACTACAGACCTGAAGTCACAAATAAGATGCATTCCACTTATATCAACGTAAATGTGAGCGAAACATGAAAAACTAAAAAAAAAAAATCTGGTGACCCAAAATTAGACCGAGGGATGGAAAAATACAGCCAAATAAAATTTTTATTTTTATTTTTTTCAGTTTTAAGGCAAACAACAATAACAAGTGAAATTAAAAGTACCACATCACACGTCTTAAATATATTTCAACAATAACAAACACTTAATAAAACATATAGATACCGATAATACAAAAATACATATATGCACGACGTATCTATAATTAAAAGACTAGATTTAGTAACAATTAAAAGGGGAGACTTGACGCTCGAATGTCACTAATACATTACTCTATACATCATGGGTATAGATATAACCAAAAATAACAAGGGAGCTCGCGAAAGGCAAGAATCGAAATCCTTAAGGTTTATGGTTAACAGTTGAAGACAGCAAGTCGATTCTTCGCATCCCACGAAAATCCTTCTGCAGAGTGCCTAGTGGTTGGCTGGACACGATGGCTGGCCCTGGGAATCGACCCCCCCGCGGATAAGGGCCTCCAGCACTACGGCAGGTTCCTCTGGGAAGTTCTTTTTCTCGAGGTCCTGACAGGAACTTCCTCCCGCGTTTAGTCGCTGGACGATCCTGCCGTTGACCCAAGATGACCACACATCCAGGGTGACTTTCCCAGGGGCGTGCAGCTCCCCCTCTTTCCAGAACCTTATTGGTGAAGAAAAATATTTGAGTAGGTTCTCGATTTCACGTATCTATTTTGTTTTTTCTTATGAAGGCAGCAAGTTTAAAAGCAACATGTCTTCCATTGTTCTCATGTTGGAAGTCGACTTATTGAATAATAAATTACTAATGTAGACGTTTCCTCTGGCGTGTTAGGACTTACAACTTACAACTTCATCTCCACCACATTCACCTTTATCTCCATGTAAACAGAATGTAGGGAGAATAACAAAACATGATTATGCCAAAGGCCCTTTCGCCACACCGCCTCCTCAGGGAATATAATACAAAAGGATAAAGAGGTGTATATATACTCAGAAATTTTCCCTGACACTGGTCACAAGTCCCTACAGGAACCATTTCTTTACTGAAGAGAAATTTCTATAATATTTGGAATCCAAGTCAGCCATTCCTTTTGTAAGGAATGGCTGCCTCTGAGAGTCACATCTGCATCTCATGTATTACATACCCTAAGGCAGCAACGCAGTGTGAAAGCCTTTTAAAGAATCGTGTATTAATTTTCCTCTCTTTACCATTTTTCTCAAAAAATATTTAGCTCTCTCACCTGTGAATACCCTTCTGCGAGAAGCGAACCACTATGCCGTCCTGCTTGATAACGTAAAGATTAAGTTCTCCAGAAGGAAGGGTGTAGAACCGGGCCTCGACGGGTTCTTCTACCGCTACCTCTTGAACGAAGTAAAACTGCGGTTTGGCTCTCAAAGCTGTAAGGCGGTCAAACTCGCCACTCTGAACGACGGTTCCATAATGTCCAAGAGCCTGGGTTCCATCCCCGTCAAACCAGTCCATTCTGGAACCAAAATCATTTTTGAAAAAAATACTGAAACATATGCAAGCTCATGTGTATGTAGACAAACAGATGTCGAGTCTCATACCAAAACAAGTAACAGTGTATGAATATCCGTAATCAAAATAAAAGCCGGTATTAGTGAATGTTGAAATTAATAACTTTAATATTTATTGATAAAATATTAGAAAGAGAGGAAGTAGATGCAAAACATTCCAGTCCTGGTTATTCTTCTAAGTAAAATGCATATAAGCATATATCAAAACAAGCAATGGAAAAATGTATCAAAATCAATAAAAAACAGACATTTACTCGTCTGTCAAGAAATAGGTGTCTTTAAAATATTGCACCTGGCATGATAATCTGTTAAACACTGCAGGAATGCAAGTCGGGAACAAGTTGAATCTTTCATTGTTAGGACCCACAAATCTACAATTTACAAGCCCCAGAAAGCAGTATTGATAATCCCCCAACGTAATAGCCGAGGAATTTGGTCCCCCCCCCCCCACACACATTCAGAATTCAACGAGAATGATACAGATATAGAACAATTAATAATATCAGCTGATCTTTCTTACCTGTATATGTGCACCTGCCCCTGTTGGTCCCCTCTGAAGGCCCCCGAGACCACGACGAGGAACAGATCACTCGAGTGGGACGTCATTTCTACCCACTTCACATCGTCCATGTTTATAACCTGAAAAGGTACATTACACATTTACTTCCACAGTACAGAATACAGTCCAGCCGTGTAAAATAGAAATACAGTTTCAACATCTAAAAATTTCGAGAAAATGAGAGATCAATTAGCTGATTACTTAGAATTATCTGCCGCTTCAACAGCTAAGGTATTTAACGGCGAACATATTGTTGGATTGAAATGTTCAAATATTTAAAACTTTATTATTATTTATTTTTATATATGACATTTATTGATAAATTTTTAAATATCATACTCTAAATGTATAAAATTATTACATGAATAGTATGCATATATAATACACATTTTCTCAATATCCGTTGAAAAATTGGAATGCTGACCTGGAGTAGAGAGAAAGTGTCCTCTTCGACGTCGTAGCGCCACAGCATGAAGGACCCCATGTGTTCATGAGAGTCGCCTTGATCAGCCACCCCTAAGAAGGTGGTGGTGGTGCCACTAGGATCCATGTGCTCTACTACTGACGCCTGGGAGTGAAAATTCATGATATTTAGCTTTATGTTGATATAACTGGTTACCCCATATCATGAACAGTAGATCATATCCATGGATGTCCAAAAGATTTGTTTAGACAGTTAAATGAAATAATGTGTAGACTGGAAACTCTTTTCGATATTAAGGAAACCCTGGGAGAAAATAATTCAATTAGGAAATGTTTGTAAGAGACCAGTATATCGTGTTACAATTGGATAAGGAAATGAGGAAGAATAAAGCTTAAATGAGGGTAATTTGAAGACATACCTTGACTGGGTTGAAGGTAGTAGTCAGCCGTTGTAGCTCCCGGAAATGGCCTGGCGAGTGTTCGCAGGTTATCACAACTTCATTTCCCCTTGCAGAAACAATGATTAAACAGGGCCTTTCGCGTAGCATCACCATCTGTTGAAAAAGGTAGGGATGAAATGAAGAAACCAAAAGACAGAAGTAGAAGTATCGGTAAACTTCAAAACTATTACTGTCAAAGAAAAGCAAGTCTATCTTACAAAGTATCATAATAAAGGACCATATCGTCCTAGAGTACAATACCTGCACATCAACTGCTCCAGGAGTGGACACACTAGACGTCCAGCGGGCCCTACCAGCTGTGATGTTCCAGATTAGCACCTCCTGGTCACTTGTTACTTTCTGAGATGGCCAGTGAAGAAACCATTTAAAAGAAGTAAGAAGGTTTAAGATTAATAACCCAAAAATGGATGCAGGTGTATATATATAATATATAAAGGAGAGACTGAGGTAATCCATAGTTCTTATTAAATGGTCCTCAGTTCTCCAGGCTGATCAAGCTTCTTTATGAATTTTCACCAAGTTTCCGTGTAAAGATTACAAGAGGGAGAAAAGTGTACAGACAAAATAGATAGAGTATTAAAACTGATTAACGAATATCTAGTTCCTCTCTACACTTTTTTTTTTTTTTTTTTTTTTTTTTACATACCGTGCCATCATCTGAGGAAACATCCAAGCACACATGTCCTGTCACAACAAACTCTTCCCCATGGCTTGTGTAACCCACTGCGTTTTTGGTACAGACTCCACCCAAATTCATATCTGTTTGGAGAGAGGAGAAATTTCTTTAGAATTATGTAGAATAACGGTTCTTCAATAAAAATATGTACAGCACACAACTAGTACTGCATTTAGAATTGTTGCAATACGGCAATAGTAACATACAAAGCTGCACTGAAAACAATGATATGTAGGAAAAAGGTTGTAAACAGATCAAACCTTAGATCCAGATCTCACTGAATGGACGCCTTTTATCCTCCCCATAACCTAGGAACCTCACCAATGCAGACCTAATCACCCGGCCAACTAGAGTGAACTAGTCTTGATTTTTTTTCCTTTTATGCTTCAGGTGTGGGCTGACAGGTGTGACTGCCTGGCACTAGGGGTGCACGCCTTTCCCTGCCTGGCCCTCATGGAAAAAGCACCGACCGCGAGTGACCAGTGCGGCCCTCCCAACCCAACCCGCGGTCAGGGTGCCCTGTGTGACGTCACTAGCCGCAGCAATACCCATGATGTTAGAGGATATAACAGCATAAAGTACAGATTGCAGTGAAAGGTTTCGTTAGGCAATCAAATTCATATCATGGAATATGCGTTGTATCAAGCCTAGAGTGAATGACCTAGAGTTTTATATCCATAAATAAAATATTGATGTTATTGATGTAAGGGATATTATTCATACGTGAATACAGCCATGATTGGATTTTTGAAAGCGAAGATAAAATTGCCACAAATTGGTTAAAATATGAGAACACTGATGTTCAATTTCAATTTCGCGTTCAATCACGACGGCAGTGCAGAAGAGAGGAAGACAGAGGTCAAGACTAGTGCTGTGTTAAGGTGGTCGCTCAGATACCTTAATGAGTGTATTTGTTGTGCTGTGCTGTGCTTGTGACCAGTGAATAAATGTAACATCAGAAACATTCTTTCGGACAACGTTCCCATCGTTATAAGTTCAGCTGGAACCTCACCATCAACAGAGGTTCCCTACAATGCTAATCTAAGCAAAGGTGGACATCCTTATCAATAATGTACAAACTAATGAATTAAAACAATGTGATTGTAGATGAAAACGGATTTTCTTTCCGACTTACTGGATGGTCAAATTTGCACAACTGTATTATTGCACCTGCAAACTAAATGCTACAATTCTAGCTTCATCTACTTACTGGTATCCTCATAACGACCATCTTCGAGGAGCTTGAAGATCTTGGTGCTGCCCAAAGACGTTATGAGTGCCAAGTATTCTGTGGTGTTGCTCAAGGGGCGTCCTTGCAGGAGGGGGTCCATGATGAGGGGCACCATTCTCACCAGGGGTTCCTGAAACTCCTGCACTCTCCGCCATCCCCAGAATTCTTTCGCTTGACCTACGAAGCCATTAAATGAGAAATGCAGATAAGTATAGAAACAGGGTTGATGATGTAAACAGGTACGAGATATTCAACTCACGATTCTTGCAAATGATCGGGTCAAATAAATAGGGACAGGAATGGGAAAAACTCCTCTAAAATCTTTGCCTTTCACTGAATGGTACAGACATGTTCTTCAAGACCTCCAGAAAATCAAGAAAATCTTATTTCTTATTAAAAAAAACAACAAACTTGCAAAAAAAAAAAAAAAAAATCGGTGAATAAGAATCAAGTATTCACAGCATTCTGTCAAGGTTCAACACCCAGTATCTGTTCACGTCTCTCTCGACCTTAACGCACCTTCCAGAACATGGTGATTGATGCGAGATATATTATAGGTATATTCATAAGGCAGGGCGAGCTCCGACACGTCTGGAGGAGAAGCTATCATGGCCAAGACGCCATCGAGAGTCTTGTGGAGGTTGAGGTCCTGGAAGGTCACCCCGCCCTGGAAGGAGACCTGGCCGCTCACCACGTTCTCTCGGTCGAGCCGGACCTGCGGAGGGGGAGGGGGGAGATGTGAGAGAACGACGGAAGGATGGGAAGGAGGAGAGGAAGGGAGGATGAAAGGAGGAGAGGAAAGAGGCAAAGGGTAGGAGGTAGGAAGGAAGGGAGGGAGGGCGGATGAAAGGAGGATGGAAGGGGAGGGAGGGAGGGAGGAGAGGAAGGGGGGAGGGAGGGAGGGAGGAGAGGAAGGGGGGAGGGAGGGAGGGAGGAGAGGAAGGGGGGAGGGAGGGAGGGAGGAGAGGAAGGGGGGAGGGAGGGAGGGAGGAAAGGAAGGGGGGAGGGAGGGAGGGAGGAGAGGAAGGGGGGAGGGAGGGAGGGAGGAGAGGAAGGGGGGGAGGGAGGAGAGGAAGGGGGGAGGGAGGGAGGGGAGGAAGGGGGGAGGGAGGGAGGGAGGAGAGGAAGGGGGGGAGGGAGGAGGGGGAGGGAGGAAGGGAGGGAGGAGAGGAAGGGGGGAGGGAGGGAGGGAGGAGAGGAAGGGGGGAGGGAGGGAGGGAGGAGAGGAAGGGGGGAGGGAGGGAGGGAGGAGAGGAAGGGGGGAGGGAGGGGAGGAAGGGGGGAGGGAGGGAGGAGAGGGAGGAAGGGAGGGGAGGAAGGGGGGAGGGAGGGGAGGAAGGGGAGAGGGAGGGGGAGGGAGGGAGGGAGGGGGAGGGAGGAGAGGGAGGGGGAGGGAGGAGAGGGAGGGAGGAGAGGGAGGAAGGGAGGGAGGGAGGGAGGATGAAAGGAGGAGAGAAGAGGGGAGGGAGGGAGGATGAGGTGGCGAGATTGCGACAAAGTGAAGAGGGAGGGATGTGAGATGCGGGCCTTTAAACAATTTTGCAAGATTATATTCAAATGAATACACATGTAAATTCCGTCGTAGATGATTGCACTAAACGACATTGAACAGTAAAAGATTCCTACACAGAACAAACTTTACACATCAAGAATACAAAAAAATAATATTCAATACATTTCCTTTAACCTTCTTTCGGGGAAGAGCGCACGGGAGGTGAGGGGGGGGGCGATAACATAATGGTCCAAAATTATAAAGATTTTCCGATACAATATTCCGAAAAATTGGTTACACTCACAGCTGTGTTCCACAAATCTGTCAGATTCATTGAGTTGAAGTGGCCGTCGTCAGAAGTAAGACTTTCGACCGTAAGGGCAATATCTGGAATAAAAAATGAAAAGGGGGAAAATGGAATGGTTTCCAATATTATTTTGTTCCGTACATTAGTCCATATTGCAAAATGTACCGTGCACTATGAACTTACATAATGCATAAGTTACACGAGCGAATAAACAGAAATCATATATAAACTATATGGGCGGACAAACAAAGACAATAAGATGTAAAAAAAAAAAAAAAAAAAATTATATATATATATATATATATATATATATATATATATATATATATATATATATATATATATATATATATAATCATAAACCAATATAAATATATTTTTCTATTTATATACTTTTTTATATTCATATTTTTACAAATAAACAAACATATAAACTTGAAAAACAAACATGGTAATATAGGCCTAGCTCGTATCCACGAATGAAAAAACGAAACAACCAAACAAGACGCAAATTACCAATCAAAAAAAACAAAAATGACCCGCCACAACCAACCAACCACCCACCACCATGCACCATGCACGCCAAACCGCTCACAGCACCTGCACTTCCGCCCACGACGGAGAGGGAGCCTTGCATGATCTGGTTCTCCGAGAGGGTCAGCAGTTCAAGCACAGTCATGTTCACGCCGTCCACCAAGCCGGAAGTCCTGCGGGAAGAAGAAAGGATAGGACATGGCTAAGAGTTGTGCGGACAGAAATACATAACATATGGGGTGGGGAAAGGGAGAGACACAGACAGAAAAAGAGACAGATAAAACGTATTTATAGCATATGTATCCACAGCTGCGTCTATATATACATCTGCAAATATTTTATATTTTACTCCTGTAAATTAACACTTTAGTATTTCAAATTTTGTAGGTATATAACCTCTGGCAGTCTGGGTGCGTTTGCATTCTG